GAGCTTCATTATCTTCAAACTTAATTTTATCTGCTGTATATGGAGATCGAAAAGTGTTTTGCTGTGAATTGCTCATACGTACATAAAATAAATTTTGCTTGTCTGGAACTTCAATAACATAGTTTTGTAGCACTTTCAATCTTCCTTGGTTAATACGATGTACTATATCTGGTTGTGGTCTATATAGTCCATTTTGATGTTCAATAGTACGTGAGTTCCAATATGTAACAAGTCCTGCATTAAAAACTAACTAACTACAATTATTTGTAAGGTTTGAACGAACAACTTTAATACCATAAAGTCATTCAATAAAACTTAACACTGTTTGAATACCCGAATATCGCTCCTCAATAGTTCTGTTCATTCGTTCAGTAAAATTATTAGTGGTCCATGGCCTTACATTAGTTCCATCTTCATAATTTGGTAAACGCCCACCATCTATAAAGCCAAGAATCCACTTTTGACTTATCCAATTCTCTTTAAGATTACGTACAAAAAACGCTTTTGCCTCTATATAAATTGGAAGTGAATATATAAAACTCTTATATTCAATAGCCATTTCTTTTGCTTCGAATACACTTCTACATCGGCCTACAATCTTAAATGCCAATGCTATTGGATAACTAAATAATATAACGCATATATAAGTAATATAATTATAGTATTGTATAGTTAATATAATTAATTATTGTATATTACCGTAGACTCCAATCAATTTTTTGTGTTCGAAAATGATTCCTAAAAGTCTGCATTATATGGAACCAAAAAAGGATTGTATCACGAATAATAGGTTTCAATGCAGCCTTTGTTGGTCGATGTTTGTTCATTACTGCAAAAGGTTTCCATTCAATTGCACATGATCGTATGTGCTTAAATCCTTTATTATTTGGTAGTGTAATATATTCATATGGATGTTCACAATCTACATTTCGACAAGGTATATTTGCCTTTATTGCCTCAACAGCAAGTCTTATTGTATGCATATTTTCCTTATTAGATAAAGCAAATCCTATGGGTGTACCACAGTTTCCACAATCTTCTACTACTAAAGCATGAATAGGTGCCCGATCATTGTTAAGATCATATTTTGCATCAATACCAAAACAGAATGAACCATAATCGCGTGCTTGTTCTAACCACATATTATCACTTACAGTAAGTTGATAATAATGTTGTGGTGAATTTAAAGGAGCAGCTTGATCTTCTTGTTGATAATAAAGAACAGAGCCATTTTTTTTTAATTCATCTATAATTAATCCATATAATATAGTCCACGGACCTAGATCACCACGAATATATTTATTGTTTCGTTCTAATAGTTGTTGAAGTTTTTTTTCATTACAGATGTTAGTTCTATATTTTTCTTCTATCTCTAACTGTTCTTTCGATGCATCGTTAAATGGAGCTAGAAGTTTGAGCTTTACTTCTTTTGCAGTACACCCATCTGCTCTCTGACTTAAAATAACCTGATCCCTTATACTTCTTCTTAGATTAAGACGTGTAATAGCTTCTTCATGCTGAATAGGAATATTCGTAGGTATGTGCTGACCTTCTATACATAACTGAACAGAAAATCTCTCGGCGACCATACTAAGTATAACTCTAGTAATTATACGAACTTTGCATTTATGCATATCATTACCATTTTTTAAATTATTTTTCATCTCATAATTT